TGACAAACTCTATCATTATGTAAACCTGACAAATTATTATTTACACAATTGTTACATATATTGTATTGCTTCTTATGAATATAAATGAATATAAAAATATAAAAGAACTAAATATTTTTTTGAGGTATGTATCAAAAATAACAAATAACACGATTTCTGTTTTATAATAATTTGTAAAGTATATGTAGAAATTACCTAACATTATTGATTGCGCACTTTCGTAACGAATAGTTTACTTTCATGATAAAATGAATGAATAGAATGATAGAATGAATAGCATGAATATCTGTGTATTTTATCTGAGCAAAACACAAGTTTACGTGAATTTTTTAACCTGATTTGTCACGGCGATTAACTCGCTTCGTGTCGGGCACGATAAAACGTGATTGCCATGATATTGATGTGAGATTTTGCTTGTCAAAGTTGCTTTTTCCATGTTTCGCAATTGATCCTCAGTACTCATCATAACTTCATCCAGATTCTCAATCTTGACAGAGTTTTCAGATATTGATTGCATTGCGAAGATGAAAATCGATCAACAATTCTTCTTAGATAATATGTCGATTCTGGGCATCTTCTTCACTGGTCTCTCATCTTCCTATATTCAAATAACAGTTTTGATTAGTTAAAATCTTTAATTATGTAATCTATGGTTTTTACAGTCTATGGCTACATTCAAGAAACACAATGACTATGTGGTCATAAAATGAGAACTCATTGATATATTCAGATATAAAATGGATAAAAGTGAATTTCAACGATTACTGAGCATTCAACTGTTATGTTTGAATTGAATGTAATTATAGTATTTTTGTTATATGATCAAATTGTTTCCAATATGTTGATTAGCTATAGAATAGAAAATTTCTTAAGACTTGAAAACTTTCCAATAAGTTAGTAAAATTCATACAAAAAAATGATATTAACCTTAAATAAGTAAAGGTTAGACATATTTGTAAAAGAAAAATAGCAAGCAAAATGTATTTTCCTTTTCAATTTCCATTTCAAATATATGAAATATATCAGATTTCAAAATGGACACAAATGTTTATAAATTAATATCATTGTATTATTGTTAAGAGTTGATATTTATTGTCACTGTCAACAGAGATCAATTTTATTTGTCTATATACCTCAGATATAAGAATATGCTGAAATAATCATTATAAGCAAAGTTCCAAATTTAGTCACTCGTTATATCACATTATCCGTCATTCGATGTAAGATAATAATTTTAATTAGCAATTTATTCGGGTGCAAACCCGAAAACAGCTTCCTTTGCAAGATAACTTAATGTACCAAGTATTGTGCAGCTCTATTACAATAAGTCAGTGGCTTTACAGTGGTTTCTGTCGTTCTATCATTTATATCTGACGAATTGAATCGGTTTGTTAAAGTTTGTTGATAATTTCAGGGTAACGTTGTTTCGTAACGAAAAGCGGAGAATGTGGTATCGAACGGTTTCAGTTTTCATCCAATTATCGACTGTCGACATCAGGTCAATGTTCTCTTAGCTCTCAAAGGTTTTATGTTACGCGGAACAAACGGAAGGTTCGTTAGGATAATCATTCGATGGCAAAATTATTTTAGATAAAAGATATTTACTTATAATGAAAGAAAATTAAATGTATCTTGATATAAATAACGATATTATCATTTATATAACAATCCTTCTCTGTATATTATAAATCTTTTTTTAGTCGAATTTTTTACACATCTCGTTTCATCTCCTCCTTTATCCCTTCGCAATAAAGTGCAAGAAGTTCAGATAAAAAGAATAAACTTATATATCGTATATATATATATTTTTTTTCTTTAAATTTCTTTTTCATTAAGTTGTTTCATCTCTTTATTGTTTCAATTATTGTTTCAATTATTGTTCATTAACGATCTACATCGTAACAATTCTGTATATGCTTCGACTATTATATTATTATGGAGTTAATAAAAAAATGAGAAATTATATTCTTATGTAACTGTAATTAAATAATTATTTATAAGTAATTATTTATAAAAAATAATATTAATTAATATGTCAAAAAGCTATTATTTCTTTCCTTCTCATTATCTGAAATATCTGAAATATTCAATTTAGAAATACTGTAATTTGTACAATTTTTATTTCACCTTATTTTAACTTTTTATTTTATTTTAAAATTTTTCGAAAAAATGTATCGTTATGTTATACATATTACAATAAAATATTATTACACAATATCAACTGATCAAAATGTTGTATTTTTTTGTAGGATTATTCGTCAAGCATGAATAAACGTATATATATTTCTAATATAAAAAGAAAAGAATTATAGTGAAATTATTTAGTTATAAATTGTTAATAACATGAGCAAATATATGAACTATGGCGACAACTTCTGGATTGCATATAAAGCTTCAATCGTTATTTATGTACCAACATTCGATAAAAAATTTCTTTCAATACAGTAGCCAATACTAATAATTATTACTAAATAAATCAAAGAAGGATATTAACAGATGTAAATTATGCTTTATATTATTACTTTCATTTTTCTAATATCTGTATTGTGCTAATTGAAGATAACTATATAGTAAGTAAAATGTTAGCAATATGTCGGCAAATCATCACCAGATTCGATCAGAACGTATTAGCAGACTGATATCAACATTCTCATTTAGCTTAGATTTTATCGGCAGGATTTCACCTGTAGAAACTAAGCAACATTAATAGCAGAGATCTGGCAGATACAGCAGCTTATTACCATAGCGGACTCTGCCAGATTTCTGCCACTAACACTTTTATATGAAAAGCCTACTCGATTTCTTAGCCAATTTGTCGTTACGTCAGATTCTGTTTGGTTTCCAATATCAATAATTATTATTTAGTAAATGAGTCAAAAAAGGATATTAACAGATGTAAATTATTATTCTTATCATTTTTTCTTATAATATTTGTATGATGCTAATTAAAAATAGCTATCTAGTAAACAAAATGTTAGCAGTATGTCGGTTCATCGTCAGCAGATTCAGAATATGTTGGCAGACTGATATCAACATTGTCATTCAGCTTAGATTTTATCGGCAGAACCATAGAAGCTAAGCAACAGATTAATAACAAAAATTTGACAGATTTTATTCTGCACGACCACAACAGCTTCCTCAATCCTGAACGAGCCCTCAGAAATTGTAAGAAACACAAGAAATTTTTCGGAGAAAAATTAACGAAGGCAACTAGGATTCGAACTCGGGATCCTTTACCTCGAATCATGACACTCAATCTGCACGATCACAATAGTTTCAATGTTATAACAATCTCCGAATCCTATCAACTATTTAAACCTTACGGCTTTTTATGTTCCTCGGCCAACTCGGCCATTCTAAAAAGCACATTCGTCCCCGAATGTATTCCGTTCTTTCGCCGCCCCTCAATGACGCTATGCTTCAATATTCTATCTCTCGAATTCAATTCTTTTTTTTTTCGGATTCAACCTCTCACACTCGCATCATCACAGAACAACTCACAGAAAAGCTAACCCGACATCTCCTTGAGCTAGATCAATTTCCACTACGTCCTCCACGTCTTCGTCTCTCAATTTAGACTCGGCGCGAGTCGTGTAGGAAGTCATCCTCAATCCTGGACGAGCCCTCAGAAATTATAAGAAACATTCGGAGAAAAATTAACGAAGGCTTCGTTCTTCGTATTATCGTCACAAAACAGCTAATTATAACCCACATATATAATAATAACCCACAGAAAAGCTAATCCGACATCTCTATAAGCTAGATCAATCTCTACCAACGTCCTCCACGTCTTCGTCTCTCAATTTAGACTTTTACTATTCCTCTTATTGTTCCTACAATATACAAGAGATTTGCTTAGATAACTTATATTTAATATTCAAAATTTTTAGAGATTTTTTTAAAGAGTCAGACAACTTTATTTCCATCCAGATTTTAATAGACGTTGTAACTTAAATAGATAAGATAATGATTTTGTACGAATGTCTTATATTAAAGTACTTTTATAAAAATCATGAAATTGTCCTCAATACAAATACAATTTCTGATTTCAATCATTGAATTCAGAAATTGTATTTCATTTAATCATTAGAATTAAATTTCTAGATATCCAAATGACTATTAATCGACTTTGTACAGAAGGCGATTTATACGCTGTATAAATAAGTAAAAGCAAATCTATGTGACATGGATTGACAATCCATGGAACATAGATAGATTATCACATTAATTATTAAAAATTTTCTATCCTTTCTCTTATTTCTATTTCAAAGTACAAGTTTTATATATATTCATCGAATTATATACATCATCGAAGCAATCATTTACATAACATTGATAATCAACATGGATATCTTATCTAATTAATAAATTGTCAAAATTCTATATTACGAAAAAAATCTTTTTACACATTCTTATGTATGTTACATTATCATACTTTCGAAGTATATGTACGATATCTGTCTCCAATAGTAAGTATTTTATTTTAAAAATTATTACTGAATTTAAATTGAAATTACTGAATTTATCTATACGAACTCAGAGCGCACACGTAATTTCTTTCAAAGTATATTCAAAGTATATCTCAAAATATATTCTTTTGAAATACTCAACCTTTCTTACTGATTTTTCTGATAATGAGACAGATCTCGTTCATTTTGATTATTTTAAATTATATTTAGTTAGAATTATGTTGTATATAAATAAAGAATTTATTTTTATGATTGATCAAAACATTTTTGTTATAAGAACTAATATTTTATCATTATAAAAACTAATTCAATTGAATGATATCAATGTTCCAGTGAAGAAAATTGATAACTAAAAAAATTAATAAAAATGTTGCTAAACAATTTATATTTTGTCTGTTAAATAGAATACTGCAAACTTCGTTAGTTAAATTTGCAATAAAAATAATTTTGTTTGTATTCATTTTAAAATCTTATAATTAGTTAAAAATTATAATTTATCATCACGATAGACAACAGAAGTCTGCTTTGCTGTTATCTATCATATCTGAAATTTGTATTAGTAAAAAAAGTTTCTTCAACTGTTATTGAAGGAACAGTCGAAGCAACTTTATTAGAATTAATTTTCAATGTATTATTTTTAATCGTCCAACATTTTCGTTTGTGACGCCATAGCATATGCAGTGTCAGTGACGCTTTGCTATGGTAAGGACGATGAGTTCTTCCTCGTGCAGGCGCATTTTTGGGGCATAAATGACACCTGAATGTTCTTTGTGTTCTCCATTTTTTTTCATTTTTTGTTTTCATTTTTTTAATTTTATATTTACAACTACGTCTTACGTTTTGTAGACCTAGGGCAAGGATGAAATCATTTTTATGATTTCGATGCCATATGATTTTTTTCGGTTGGCTTTGTTTTCGCGATCGTTTTCCACCTCGTCTTTGATTTTCCTTTCCGTCTTGTTTATTCTCGGATTCCTGTGTTAATGATGGCTCCAAAAGTATATCGTTAATTTCTGTCTGTAGTGGTGATTGATTGCTGCATATAAAATCAGAATTAAATGTATCAGTAGCGTCATTCCTATTGCGAATGTTCAAATACGTTTGAACATCGTTATCCCTATCGTTCTTGAAATCGCAGATGCAACAAATGTCGAGATCACGATTGTATGCCTCGCGATTACCCTTACGTCGGACGACATCGTCATCGTTGTCGTCATCGTCACCGTTGGTGACGCCCATGCGACGGTGCGACCGCTTCTCCTCCTCCGTGGGGTATGCCATAGTCGCTGCAGTTGCAGGGGACTTTACCATCTCGTGGCTGCAACCACCGCGGCACTGTTCCATAAGTTACGTTCGCGTCATTTTTCTACCAAAGTACGAGTGTTCGTCGTACCACAACGTGATAGAAATAAAAAAATTGTATAACTAAACAAAGACATCCAGCAATACTAACGCGTACGCCATCGCACGAATTGCGAGCGCAGTCTATGACACCGAAAGCAAACGAAGCGTGCACATGGTGATATGCAAGATTAAGAGATCTCGAACTAAAAAATAATATCAAAAAATGACGCTAGAACGTAACATAAAATATAGGAGGAGGAGGAATGGATAGTGACGCGAGATGACGAATCGTCTTATCGTATTACAGACGGGTTACGATCGATACATGTTGACTTCGCATTAAATTCAATCGTGACAAAAAAATATGATGTAAATCGTCCGTGCAATAGCGAACAGAGGCGATGGCAAAAAGTTAATGTATATAAATCGTAACTCGTCCTTAAGCACGCTAACATTGGTCGGATGAGCGAACGTAACATACGTTTAATCATGGTATTTATTGCAATTAATGAGAACTAAAAAGATGGAAAACGCAACAACATGCAATTAATTGAATAAAGAAATGGAAGCCGAGTATCACGTGCAACAGCGGTAAACTCACCCGAGTATAGTAGTTGGTGGTATCACAGTGGTAGCAGGTGCAATTGCTGGAGCTGATGCTGGAAAAACAGGTGGTCCAGGTGGCGGTCGTCCTCCTCCCACGGGACTATAAATTCAATAATAAATAATTGCGTAAATTATATTTACGAGAGGAAGAAATGCTTCGGATTCCTGCGAAAAGATTAGTCTTGAAAATTTTAATATCTTTATTTTACAAAATTTTACGAAGAATTTATTTAAAATAGAAATATCTCTATTTACTATGCACAGAGAGAATGATTTCTTTAGATCTAATAAATTTTATTATTATTTATTCAAAGAAATTTATTTTTTAAAATAGTCCAATCAAATCAATTATTAATTCAACAAATTCTATTGTTCGATTGTTCAAATAATAAATAGCTTTATTTTAAATAAAATATTTATTTAATAAATTATTTGAAAAATAATAACGCTTTTTATTTACGCTTTACAATATTAAAGCATCTCTTTTTTCATTGAAACAATATTTAATCTAGCCAAACAAAGTATTATTTAGTCAAAAATAAATTTTCATTCGAATATCAATTTAATATGTCGTTTTAGAAGTGAATAAAAATAATAAAGTATGATTATCAAAAAATGAACAGTCTATGAATTAGTTTATATTTTATAATTTATCAGAATATGCCGAAATAAATATAAATATACAATATCTCGTAAATTGACTTTTTGATGATCGTATTTAATATTTTATCTATTCATAAATTTTTCGGGCGTTTCATAGTATGAGTACTAGTAATTTTATTTCAGTTATAACATTTAAAAAAACTTTTAATTTATTATTATAAAATAGATAAATCTCTCTATATGAAAATTAAGAATTTGGCACAAATATTGTTTTCTCATTTAAATTTGTTCTATAGATTTCATCATAAATTTTATCAAATCTTACCGTACTAATTGTTTTGTCGAAAGGACAATATTAATGCCCACTCGTGTTTCCGCGTTGAATTGATTTTGATTACTTATAGCTATCACAATATACTTTATCACGATAGTTTATTGACTGTTATGTTTATTGTTTATTGTTCACAATGTTTTATAAACGTCAAACGAGAAATATCCAATTTCATAAGGATAACTCCCGCACAGTTTTATCATGTTAAAATCATTTTTATTCGCGACGATACCTAGGGACCTTCGCCCTGAATCGCACTGTGTCCGAACACGTTGGTTCTCGCGTAAGCACGACAATGCCTGAGGACTAGTGTTAATTCTGATTCGTACTGAGCACATTCCTGGTATATTTATGTAGGCACAGCAACGCCTGGGGAACTACTGCTCTCAGGTGTAGTCTTAAGCCTTACTGCAAATTTTACGCACTCCTCGAGACACTCACCGTTCACTAGTTAACGATAGACTGCACAGTTTTCCCGACGATGAATTTCATAGGATCGTCCCCCTCCCTTCTATTCATAAGGAATAACTCGGCAGTGAAAAGATGAGAAAAGAGAGTAGTCACATTGTCTCGTCTGGCATTGGCTTAGAATTGGCAAACGCGTGAACGGTGATATCACAGCTATTCATAAGCAGTAGTTTGGCAACGAAAAATTGACAAACGCGGGTGATATCACAGCCGAAGTGTCGAAGCTGACTTCTTACACGTCGCGCTCGTCGGCGCGTTCTTTAGAAATAATTTGGAATATCCGAGTGCATATATACATGTATATTTGAATATGTATATGTACGTGCGTGAGTGTGGTCGCCACGTGTTCGAACTTTATATTTTTTATTTGGTCGTGCACGACTTATAAGTATCTTACTTAATACTAATGACATTAATAATGATCAAATATAAAGTTAAGAATTGTCTTACTGCAGAGGTTGCTGGTGTCGATTATTCGGTGGAGGTGCCGGCTGCGCAATTGATGTAGATGGTCCACCACTACCGCGGTGAGACATCTGATGTATTTGCAATTGTGCTGCATCGTCGCCGAGATACGGACATTTGGAACATTGTCTTCTATTGTGCACCTTTAACACGTGTGTCGCGAGCCGCTCGGCGCGTGCTGCTTTGTATTCGCATAAGCTGCACGCGAATGGCTTCGTATGGGTATTCATATGCCGCTTTAAACACCAATTATCGACTCCGGTCCAAGGGCAATACATACAGGTATACCTTTAAATCAAGATTGCATTAATGCTACAACATGATTATGCCAAGTTTGATTTATAACGGCTAATCTAAAAATGAACGCATGAAAAATGTCGAACGCCCCAATACTTATTTGTGTATAAACACGACAATTTTAAATTTACATAAATTCGACATTTAAATATTTCATTTTTAAAACGGTGATATTAATTGAAATCTAATGTATTGTTGTTCTTTTTCTCCGATGTGATTATATCAATTTCAACATGTTGGTGATGTGTGATTTCATATTGTAAGTGATATCATGACCGTCCCTCTTCCTTCTATTCATAATGAAGAATTCGGCGATGAGAAAAGGTAGAAAGATGAGAAAAGGGTAGTCACATTGTCTCGTCATTGGCATTGGCATCAGAATTGGCAAACGCGCGGCACGCCGCGCTCATCAGTGCATTTTTTAGAAATAATTTGGATAAATAATTTTTATAGTTTTATTTAATTTCATTTAGAAGAAGCAACGAGTTCAGCATCCCCTTAATGTTAAAGTTAATTATATAATTTATATAAAATTAATTATACAATTATTTTTTTTATTAAGGATTTATAAATTTGTTATTAGACTAATATAGTATTATTATCTTTGTTTCAAAAAATAAATCAGAGCGCTTTACAATATTTTAGTAAAATATTATATAAATTAATGATAGTTGGAGAAGAAACGCGACAAAACGAAAATAATAAAGCATACCTTCGTTCTTGCGTGTTTTTGGAGCTACCCTTAAGATGACTTTTACTATTACATCCTCCATTTTGCACTCGTCTGCCTGTGTTACAGCTGTTTGCATCAGATTGTATAATAGCTGGAGAAGGCATGATTATCGCTTGATGAATGCCGCTGATACTGGTACTAGTGCTTGATGTGGCAGCAGTTGGCTGTAACTGATAGCCCTTGTTGCTGGCGAAACCGAATTGATTGCTCATGTGTTGCTGCTGCGATTGCTGCTGACTATTTGCATTAACAGTCGCTGGCGTTGCTGTCGAGTCCTGTTGTAACGGCTTAGAGCTAGACGGTGGCCTTCGTATCCTCGATACGTCATATGGATGATCACGATGCATCCTCATGAAATGTTTTTTCACGTGGTCCGCACGATTAAATGGTTTATAACACATATAGCAGTGAAATGGCTTTTCTTCACGATGAATGTTTTCATGTCGCGTGAAAAGATCTCGTCTGTCCGTACCGTAATTACAGAATGCACAGGCGTAACGTTTAGGATTCGTGGACGCCGTAACAGGAGTAGACATCGTAGATGCATTCTGCAAAAATTAACGCTGTTTTAATATAAATTTTAAATAAATGTTACATCTTATAGTTATAACGAGTACATTGAAAGTTGGTATGTGGTCGGTAAGGTTGTGAGATATATCTTATTATTTTAGTTTTGTTAAATATAGTATATTAAAATTATGTGTTTCCAATAATCAAATATGATATATAACTATTGTTCTCTCGTTAGTAATAGTTGACTTTTCGACTTATAGTGCTTATAAATTTATTTCTTTGACTTTTTACTTTTGACTTTTGACTTTTTAAAAAATTCAAATTTGAACCACATTTTATTGTAACTAATTGATTATTATATTAGATTTGTATATTTTATATATTTATTTTGCTTGCATTAATATTTATATTTCGATTCTTATTGTTTCTCTTTTTTATTTACTAATTACATTATTTTATTATTACTTTGGATCATGAAAAAGTAGAAAATCACTATCTTCTTACTAATAATTTTTTCAAACGTAAGAAAAATTAAAAAAATTTTTACTTTTTCTTTTAGAAATAAGAATTTTATGTTTTGAATTTAAATTAACAAAATTCTTTTTTTTGTAATTTTTAAATGTTAGTATATTGCACAAGTGTAAATGAAAACATTATAAAATGTTTGAAACAATAATTTTCTCCTGATATATAATTTACGTATAATGTAGTGTCTTATATAGACTATTTCCTGTAAGTCCAATCATTTAAAATATCTTCGTTCAATGATACGAAAAAATAACAGAAAAGTTGTTCATTTCAAAAGGGCAAATATTATGATAGACAGTATCTTTTAATGCCTATTATTTTATGAAATTTCGAGATCAACATTTTTTCATATTTTCATTAAAATGTAGTTCATAAAAAAATTAATTCAATCATAAAATTGTTAAACATAAAAAATCATATTTGATTCTTAAGATCAACATTTCTACATAGTTGAATTGTTTTGAACTACATTTACTATATTAATTAAAATATACCATCTCATTTAAAATAATGTTGATCTCAAAATGATTGAATTACAGGATGCACTCTATATAATATAAATGCAATACTTGTTGCAAATGCTGCGGTACGGAGGCTGATGACATATCTTGCATAAGGAAGTTCGATGTAACTGGTAGTGGTGCCGTAGGTACAGTTTGTGTTTCTTGAGTTCTTCGAGAAGGGGGAGCCGCCCTCTCGGCGCGTTCACGGAGTCTTTCTAAATACATGACCATATCTTCGACCTTGAAATCTGTTTGCAAATAATCTTTGCGCGGTGAGTGATGCCTGTTTCTACTGCTATCTGTTAGAATTCTTGATGGATGATGCTCTATAAAATGCTCGGCGATCTCTCGTGGTCCACTAGTCATAATTTCACCTAAAAATGGGTAAAATTAGTTTAATTCCAAAAAGTTTTTAAATTTGATAAATTATATTAAAAAATTTCGAACTGCAAGTTATTGTTATTCTATAACAATCTATTCGTCCAAATAAGATAAAAAAATTTTTACGAGCAAATAAAATTTCAATAGTATAAAAAAATAGAATAATGATATTTAGAAGATTATAAATATTCTTATTAAAGCATCGAATTAAAACATTATTACAGTTATGTAAAAAATTTCGAATAACTCTTTTTTAATTTTTTTAAACTATTTCTCTTTGCTTTCAACTGAAGTATTACTTACTTCTTTTTAATTTAGCAACTATTGAATTTATCAAATTCATTCTCCGAAAGATAAACTATGATGCTTAAATTTGTTTTATATGTTATGCTGAGAAATGTCGTATTGTTATATTTTTCATATTTTCATCATTATAAGTTCAATTTATTATAGTCAAATTAATTTAATTTGATAGGTGTAAACATAAATTCCTTATTTTTATTTTCATTGTTTTAAGGATGATTATATGATTGTAGTTAAAATAACTTAATTTTGTCATTTACTTCAGCAGTATAAATCAAGGAAATGCAAGAACACTGATGTATCGTCGTCGTTCAAAATGGTACGATCAGTAATTAGTAGGGGAACCTTTCTCACTATCTACCCCTGCTAATCAACTTATTTTTATCTTGCGTCAGTTAAACTTTTTACACTATTGGATAGAAAATTACTCAACTATACTCTGTGTGCTCTATCGATCTAGACCTTTAAGCGTGAGATTGTAAACAAGTTAGCCTCGCAAAAAAATTTTTCAGAAAGGTTTATGGAACATTATTAGATACACCAGTACATTTAAATGAAATCGGATTATTACACGAATATTTTCAATGTACAAAAGTTGTGTAAATGTACCACATTCGTCACACCGCCATATAGCTTTTCCGGCATGGTAAGCCGCGATTCGACTTCCATCAGTTCCTTTATAAGGTTCATCCTCATATGTCCAGTTTCCGTCGTCACTGCCGTCGGTGCCGTTTCCAGTATCTTCATCATTTTTGTAGGAAACTGATGCTTCAAACTCATTTTGTACACTCGACGCTGCATTAAAATTGTGATAAAGCATATTAGACCCTTCGCGTTTAAAATGGCGAAAAAATTCATCGCGCTTTAATGAAATGAAGCACTCATTAAACACCTAAACATATCAATCAATTAATTAGTTATTAAATAAGAATTAACATTACATAATTAAAATAAAACAATATAATTAAAACAATACAATTAAAATAAGTACAATTTCAAAACCAAATTATTTATGAAAAATAAAATTTTCTTGATTGCGGGATATAACTAACTATAATTAACTTACTAATTATAATTACTAACTAATTATAATTAACTTCAAATAATTAAATAGTTTAAATAATTTAAGTAATTTTGAAACGAATAATTTTAATGATGAATTGTATGGATGACATATGCACGTCTAACTGTGATTGCCTTTTCTATGTACTGTAAAGCTTACGAGAGAAAGATATTTACTAAAAATCATGACAATTTTTCAACAAATTTAATATATTTTTAATATATTTTTATTATATCTTCTTTGATATTATGTAATTGTTTTATTAACAAATACAATCTATTGTTAATAATAATTAAATGTCAATAAAGTACAACAATATTTATTGTTAATTTATTATAGAACACTTTTATGTAAAAAATTAACTTACTTCTGTGATCGGGATCCTCCCCATAAAGTTTTTTGGTTATTTCTCTAAACATATCTTCATAATCCAGTCTAGTGCTGTTTGCATCCATTTTGAATATTTCTAGTGGTCAGTCAGTTTCCGCAGAACAATAAACCTTTTCCCTTCCTTTTGTGAAACCTCCCCCTATTCCTTTGTGAAACCTTTCTACCTGAGTGTATAAGCAGCGTCTTCCGAAAATATCTAAACTTGAGAAAGACCTTTCTATTTAGTATGCTTTTCTCTCTGGTATGCTTAATACTAAAATGTATTTTATATTTTAATGTAAATGTAAAAGACTAACGAGACAAATGATATATTCATATATACTATTATACAAAATATATATATATAAATGTTGAAAATTTTTACTTCATTAAATAAAATTAAATCAAGAAGATAAAATTTTAATTATTAAAATGTTATAGCATGTATTAAATTGTGTATAAAGAATATATAAAATATCATTCATCTTGTGTTCTTATATTTTATTATATATTAAGTAGCATATTAAGTAGCATGATGTGTGTGTGTGTGTGTGTGTGTGTGTGTGTGTGTGTGTGTGTGTAGTAAT